CGCTGGTAAGGCCGAGGCCACCAAGTCTGCCAGGCAGGAACGCCAAGCGGCGTGCTTCTGCCAAATGGGGGCATGGCCGTTGTTCCCCAAGCAAGGCCAGAAGGGTGTCCCAGATGGCCGCGTCATGCCCCGTGGAGTATTCGAAGCACTGGGAGGGGGGGACAGTACGGAGGATGTGTTGTGCGCGTGGTGCGGCGCAGAACAGGAGGAGGAGCCAGGCCGCTTGCAGGTCGGGGAGGCGCGGGAGCTCCTCGAGGAGCTCGGCTTCCGCGGCCAGACGGGCTTGCAAGTGGCAGGCGATGAACTCCGGGTGGCCGATCGGCACCCCCAACGCGACAAACCCACGCTGCGCGGGAGGCTGGTTTCCCACCCACACGTCAGGCCCCAGTTGATCTATGCCTGGGGGGGGTGGCCCCGGGTCCTGGTGATAGACACGGGTTTTGCCAACGTTGGATGCGATGCCCGCGTGGCCTTCAATGGCGCGGGAGACGACATCGTATGCATGCCGGGCGTGGTCCCTGGTGGTAAGCACGCAGATGTCATCTAAGTAAGCATAAAGACGGTCGCCGGCCGGCAAGGTACGGGAGGCATGGACCAGAGCTTCATGCTGGGCCAACGCAAACAGGGCAGGAGCGAGCGAATCGCCCTGCTCGAGGCCTTCTCCTTGCACTATGTCATGCACGGTCCCCTGGTTGTCAAACCAGGAGTAGGAGGATTGTGCCCCATAGAATGCTTTGACGTAAGGCAGGAGCGCCGGGGTGCATTCGTGGACTTTGGCCAAAACGGCTGCGCGGGAGACGGTGTCATATGCGCTGCGGCCGTCCAGGCACACGACCGTGGCAGCCGGGTTGGCGTCGGTGCAGTATCGGAGTATGGTGGCCAGCGCGTCGGTGCCGGCGCGGGTTTGGAGGGCGAACTGGAAAGGCCGGGTGGCCAGGTCGAACTGGGTGGCAAAGTGGCGCGCCAGGACTCTGGAGGTCAGCCGGCGGAAGGCTTCTCCAGTAGCGATCCCGCGGATACCGCTGCATTTCCTATGCGATTCACAAAAAGGCACGACTTTTGAAAATCAAGTGCTCCCAAGCTATTTTCAACGATTCTCACTAATCTAGGCACGACTTTAGCAACTCTCTGTACAGTATTAAAGGAGAGGCAAAAGAGAAGTGAAGTGCATGAGAAAGTGGAATCATCCGGTCATCGTCCCGTCATGATTAGGGGTAGCAGCTGGGTAGTGTGACAGTATGACCAGGTCATCATTCTCCGCTGTCACTGTCGCTACTGTCGCTATGGATCTCGGCCCTTGGGCCCAAGGCTACCATCAGTGATGTCTTCGTGGGATCCTGGACGGTAGCTCCCCCATCAACCCCATCGAAAACATTCGAACACCATTAGATGACCAACGATGCGCAAAGTTCACTCACAAAGGGTTGAAATGGGTTGAAATGGGTTGAAAATTGCAAAAACTCGGTCAACTGCCACAGCCCTGTGTGGAAAAACATTAGTATCATGAGTCTCCAATAGGCATCAATAGGCTAAAGCTAAACGTTTTAGCAAATTTAGATGCCTCCATCCAATCCTTGAGCTTGCCAACGAAGTGACCAAGCACCTCGGGTTGAGAAGCCATGATCTCCCAGGCCGAAATGCACAAGTGCAGCCCAGAGTGATTCTGGAATAATTCACACCTCAATGATAGAAGTGCCTATGCCAAATCACATCAGCATGCGCAAGTGATGAACATTGGGCATCATTGGGCATCATTGTGTAATGTTCCAGGACTATGCACAATTTGCGCTCTTCCCAGCCTCAATGGTCATCGCCGACAACACTAGAAAGCGGCTATCCTGGAGCCTCGGGTGGGTCTCCTCCCATTGCCTTCGCTCTTCCATAGCCTTGCGACTGAGGCAAGTGGCTGTTACATTTCTACTCATAATTCTCATATCGTTTGAATCATGGAACACAGTGGAATTCTTGCCAGGTCTTGCTCAAAGCATCGAGCCTGCTGCAGCAAATGTTCCGCCAGCAATACATCTGCATTGGCTGCATTGGCAGCACGGAAAGCATTCGCCAGCGGGAGCAATGCCGCCTCAAGAAAGCCCTGCTGCCCGAAATGACTGGTTGATGGCTTCAACCCCCGGGAAAATGTTTGCCATTTTATAAATGTCGGAAAACACTTGAAACTTGAAACCACCGACCCGAAGTAAGAATTTGCGGCTTCTGTGCTGGGATTCGAGCTCGCCTTCTTAAACAGCCATCTTCCAAAACCTCCAAGCTGCAGCAGCACGATCTTCCCAGCCCAAACCTCGAATTGGGCCCGCACTTCCAGTTGCACTGGCCGTTTTTGATCAAGAGCTGCTTCCTCCAGGTCCTCAACATTAACAAAAAAAGGAAAAAGACAGCGCACAAGAAAACTGCAAAAATCATCCATGGAATCCCGTTGCTAACCCGGACACTGCATTCTTTAGTTCAGAAAAGGGTATCCACGACAACACCCAAACATGTCACCTCCAAAATATCACACCCCTACCAGGCACATCCTCTAAAATGCTCTTTGAAATCACTACCAACGCAACCAACCCCCCCAAAAAAAAACATCTTTGAAATTCTGTGAAGAATAGGTGGGTCCGGGTTCCCCCCATTCCAAAAATATGAACATTGTTCTACATTGTTGAGATCAGCTGTGGATGGAGAGTGTTCCTAATTGCGAAAATAATATACATATACCTAATGACGAAACAATGCCATTGCATTTGAAAAGATATTGATTGCGAGTAAACAATCCGAATATATCCGAATATACATATGATTTGCATTATACGCATACATATATATACATATATATATATAGATAGTGTGTGACTAATTGTAACTATACATATAGTATTCTATATAGATTCTACATAGAAATATTTATATTATCTATATATATATATGCACACATAATAATGATAATGCATATGTTTATGTATATATAAAGTTGTTTTTCTTGCCACTCAACCAGGGTTTTCGCAGTTATCGCAGTTATACAACAATGCATACTGTCAATTAAGAATGCATACTCATAATTGGAAGGTACCCTGATGGACTGCGCTCTTGCCGGCGTGCAACGCAACTGAAGCACAGCTCGCACAACCCCAAAATGGCCTCCAAATGGGGTCTCGAGGAGATCCAAACGCAGGGAGCCCAGCCATGCCCGAACCCCCAAAATCAAGAATGTTGTTGGGGTCCACCAACGTGACCCCATTCTTCAGACAAAATTCTCATGGGCAGCCAAGAATCCTTTGACTGCACTGAGACGATGTCGAGGTCCACTCGCCTCCAGCAATTCCACAAGCACATGACAACTCCACCTGCTCTCCAGACATTTCCTGGCCTGTGAGGGCCATTGCCATTAAGGACGAAGCCATATGTTACCAACAACCGCCTGTGCTTCAATCGTAAACATCGCGAATGGCACGTGTCAAAAAAAATGATGTAAATGTAAAGATTATGCTGGGGCACAGACCCGTTGGAGATGTTGTCATACGAGATGGTCACCTCTGTCGCTTCAAAGTCGAAAGGTGAAACCATGCGAAATCACTGAGGAGCATTCTGCATTCTCTATAGAATCTCTTGCCCAGCAATTCTATGCAATTCTGCCTCCTCTCCAATGTCAATGAGCTTGGTGGAGTGCAGCCTGTTGCGGATTGTAGGGGCGTGATTGGGTCACTCCCGAAATGCTTAGCATGCCATCAAATCAAACGATGATTCGTGCCAAGCTCAAGCCAACCTCAGCACTCGATCGGAGCCCATGGTCCAACGAGCATTCGGATAGGCACAGTGATTGGCAAAGTCAAAGAAGGGCACCTGGTCTCAAGAAATGCAAATTGCCCCAGAAATTGCCCCACAGTATCGCAGGGCTCGCAGCGTGAATATGCGTGAAAGATCGTGAAAGCACAACAGCGCTCGAGCGCCGCGCAAGCGCCCTCACTCTCGCCGAGTGAGAATATACCTCAGCAAAAGGGATCAACGATGATCAACGTATCTTTGAGCTTAGTGGACAGCAGCAAAGAAGTCCTTTAGCAAAGAAATGACCTGCCCATGCAAAAAGCACGATCCACTTTGAAATCTGCATATGTACAAGTCGAACTCTGGGCAGCTCTTTCAGTGATGTTGTCTTGTCAAGGCACTGTCCTGGTGTCGACAGTATGAAGAGCGCGCACAGCACCTGACGTAACCAACTTCTGCAATGACCGAGTCACAAAATATCAAAATCTATTAAATCGATCACAGCGCTGAGAATCAGGCGCTCAGGACTGCTGTCTGGCATGGCACTTAACAGTTCCGCCACTTGCGAAGATCGAAGCGTTTCACGCGCACGGGCTAGGGACCTGACAGATAGTGTGCATCATGATGAACCGGCGGAATGACATGAGCGTAGACTGGCGCGTCGAAATGTACAATGCAAATCGCGAAATAGGGCTCTGACCCCACGCATCCTGGCAAAGCAGCCATTGCACCAAACCCATGAGGCTCACCTCAAACTGGCAGATGCCTAGGAGATTCTAGGAAGAAGTATGAAGAAGTTGACTTGACAAAGAATGAAGAATGAAAAGAAACCATGAGAAACGTTCCCAGTCTAGCTCGCCTTCAAACAGAAGACGGACATATGGCCTTAGTGGCATTGGAAATGTCAAGTACATCGACCACCTCCCACAGCTAGACATGAGTTCCCGTCAAAATCCTTTACATCTCAGTAGTTATTATTATCGGTTATCGCTTTTGGAGGGGGCCATATCGCTTTGAGGTGTTTCGTGCGCATCTCTGACAAGGGTGCTTCTGCAATACTACAGTGGTCTTCAACCATTTTGACCGTAACTCACATGTCCTGACATTTCGCACAGTGCAAGACCTCCCCATGGGCCCATGGGCTCAAACGCAAAGGCAGAGGCTTCCTTCAGGCAGTCCTGCCAGCGTTCAGTACCAAAGGGAGCACCGTGACAACTACCGTGACGAGAGGTGAGAAATACTGTATTACTGCATTGCGTAAACATCGCAAACCGTCGGGAAAAGCTCTGATCCACGGAGCCTCTTCAAGCAAGCGGTGGGCCACTCCAAGCATCCAGTGGGAAGCCTTGAAAAGGAAATGAACTTGCTCCGTTGCAGATTCAACCCCTCTTGGCCACAGAGAATCTAAAACGTTCACTGGCCTGGTAGTTGGACTCGCCGACACCCTCTGCCAGGATCGCTTCTGCAGGTACCATCAGGATGAGCTGCTCGGGGTCAAACCTCTCAGTAGCCTGAAAACGCTGAAGATATCATAAGATATCAATGGCTACCTAGCGATTACATGCGGTTAACAGGCGGTTACCAGATGGTTACCAGGTGGTTTCCAGACCATTGCAGGCAATCAAATTTCGTCGCTGCCTGAAGGAATCGACCGCACCCATCGCTGCTTGCTACCCGAACTCCACCTGCAGTTGGAGTTGGTCCAAAGCTCTTGTAGCACAAGGCCACTGAAAAAGGCGCCTGCTTGGATCCCTTTTTGTGCGCACCTCAGCAGGAGCCAGTCCCGAAATGATGCAACTCACACAACCACCTTCTGATCCAAAGTGGTAAGCTTGGCACCATTGCAATAGCTCCGTCAAAGAAACGTCATCGGATTCATCTGATTGCATAATTGTATTAGACGGATCAGCTTTGGGTTCGGCACATTGATCGTTCAAATGGATCAGCATGGTTGTAGTGGTTGTCTCAATACATCTCAATACTGTATATCTGTCGTACGTGCCATGTCTGCAGAGCCAACATACCAAGACATACCTATGACACAAACATCTCACAGCCAACACATTGGGCCTCTTTGCTGCTTTCAATTTCAATTTATTTCAATGTCTGAGTGGTGCTGCCAGTTAAGTGAACATGGTGACACGTATGTTGCATTGTCTCCAAGTGCAGTTTGACTGGTTGTCTTTATTTGTGCTGGTCTTCCTGCGTGCGTTTGCTTTCATGACTCCAGTGTTCTACCAGAACACTTTGGAACCACAAGGTCATCCTGGTGGAGCTTGACACTCTACTTTCCACCCGTGCCAATGAATCTGTAACATGATTCTGCAACGTCTTGCGCTTCCAAGTGTACATGAGCGGCAGGAAACTATCTAGCAGAGCACCAGCTAGACATCCTTTTCCATGAGCCATCTCATGAAGAGGGGTCCTGCAGCAACTCCTCCAAATACCTGTCAATTCAGAGCGGTTGGCAGCCACGTGTCCTAATGCAGCGACATTCCATCTTTCTTTTTGATTCTTTTTGTGCAGTATATTGCAGAAGGGGGAAGCATCTTGGTTTGAGTTTGAGGCTAGAATCTCCGAATCCCAATTCCCAAGCCAAACCGCAAACGTGCAAATGTACCCACTTTTGATCACAGCTCCTCAATTCTGAAAGCCTCTTCAAGGCTAGTAGAATTTTCCAGAAAGTGCTTCCAGTAGGTCAAGTTGCTGAGACTTCTTAACATTGCCACCTTGCGTAGCACTTTGATTTCGCTTGCCGATGATTTGAAGCCGGTTTTGGTGACCTCTTTAAGACGACGGATCTCAGCTGCGATTTCGCCCTTGGGTTTTTGCCCCCATTTCCTGAAGAATCTCCTGCAACTTTGGAAGCCCTGACAGGAAAACTCTTGCGATTTGGTTCCCTTCACTACTGCGTCAATGTCATACACTTTGACATATTCATCGAAGAGCAAAGTGGAAGTGTTGTAAAACCAGAGCTCGTAGCCCATAAAATCGAGCACGGTCTGGCGCATTTCGTGGGTAAGGAGGAGGCCTGCTTGATTCACACGTCCTTTGTTCTGTCGGCATTCTTCCAGGCCAGAATGGTACCGTCCATGTCGCCAGTTCTCATGATTTCCACACCGAAAATCTTGGCCATGCTCGAAGAATTGCAAGATTGACGGTGGTCTCTTGTAACCAGATCCCGCCAGGAATTGATCGAGCAAGGCAGCAGATTCAAGGGGGCGCTCTGTAATCAAAGGCAAAATGGCTTTTGTTGCCAGGAGTTTCTTCATTCCGCGCAGTCTTTTTGGGTCCAAGGCCCCATGTGGTGCACAGGGGGCCGCCCACCTAGAACCGAAGACTTGGTTCGGCACAATTCTGCACTGGGCAACGTTTTGCTGCTCCATGAATTCCTTAAACATTTCTCCCAAGCGCTCCTTATCCATGGTGCCACCCTGCAAAGACTTAGGGTCCATAGATAGCCGTGCTCCTTTCTTATGTCTCAGTCCCGCTGTTAATTGAAGAAAGGCAGACAGCAGGCGTGCTGCTGGTTCCCTCAGGGTGACAACAAAAAGGGGCCCAGGGGTGCTAAGGAACGGATCAAATGCGCCGTGATGATGGAAGTTGAGCTTGTTGAGGTCCAAATCGCACAGGTGCCCGTGGAAAATGCTGAAGTTCTTGCTGTGGGGGGTGTCAACTGCTAGGTGCCGTGCTCGCTTGTTCAAGCTAAGTATATAGGACGGCAATTCCAGTTGCCTGCCTTGCCGCATATCAGTGTAAAACGGAATTCCATTGGCCTTCGCATATTTGGCCAAGACTACTCCAAAAGTAGTACCTCCAGCCTTGAAGACGTGCATAAAAGCAAGGGCTGAATGAGGCGCAGGCATCTGCAAAGACTGGTCGGCAGCAGCCCACATGAAGAGGACCACTGTGCATATCCCATACGACCCATACACCATCAGCATATGTCGATTGGGTGGCTTGATTCATGTCATGGCTATCCAGCAAGATCAAACCAGTGCAACCATTAAGCACTGATGCCCACCAGCATTCCGCAGTTGCTTCGTGCTAATCATGTTATGTATGTATGTATGTCTGTCTGTCTGCCTGCCTGCCTGGCTGGCTGGCTGGCTGGCTGTCTGTCTGTCTGTCTGTCTGTCTGTGTGTGTATCTATGTATATATGTATCTATGTATGTATCTATGTGTGTATCTATGTATGTATCTATGTATGTGTCTATGTGTGTATCTGCGAATCGGGGATTGTTTGTCCGATTATGTTCTGGTAGTTGGATTCGAAGTAAAAGCTCCAATGATGACGTTACACGGGCAGCAGCTTCCGCATGGCAGTTCTTTGTTCTGGTGCTGCAGTAGGTCTTGAGCCAAAGAGGCCAGTTTGAAATACCCCTTTGGCATTGGATCCTAGAGTGTCGAATTATGTGTGAATACACAATCGTACGTAGCCCACACTCTATTCGCACCCCCCACGCATAGCCAACTTTGTTGGCTACGCGCAAAGGAGTGTCCTTTAAGTTGATCCACTACACTCGCAGCTGTTCATTTATTGAATTATGGAGAGCTAAAGTCCGTTCAGAACTTCAAGTCTACATGGCGGCTTGCTACGATCTCTACCAAAAGATAAAAGTTCTGTTCACGTGCATGTAGACACGACGTAGTCGGTGTCTAGCATTGAGGTTCATCCGATGTGGCGTAGCCAGCATGGAATCCCACTCAAGCATGTGAATTACAGAAATCAAAACACACAGTTGACTATGGAACTAGAAGTTTACCTTCCCGTTCCTTCGTCGGTTGAGATGTAGACCGCTGTAGAAACTCAGCGTCTCATGCAATGATGTTCAAAAAAATGTGTGGTACTAAATTAGTCGGCTCAGAGTCCTCTCAGAAATCATTCGAAATGAAGTTGAGGTAAGTCTCGAGCAATGATTGCATCCTCGCATCGCCAGGTTCAATCAGGACCTATGCAGAGGTCATATCGATTTATCATCTATATCCCCATCCATAGTATCCCTGTTGGTTCCAGTCTCCACCACGGTGTGAATAAGATCTTCCACCCTTTCCTTGGTCTTTTCCACCCTTCTTTGGCGGGGTCACTGGAGCTTGTTTTGGCGGGGGAGCGGTTTCAGCTGTTCTCCATGTTGCTGACGATGACGCTTTCGCTTTTGACACTCTGCCTAGTGCTGGTGCTGCTTTCGGAGCTGCTTTCGACTTGCCAGCGGCCGGGTTAGCACGTTCGCGATCGGCAGGAGTTGGTGTATCAGCAATCGCAAGTATGTGAGCTTCAGACAAGTGGATGCCCCATCTTGGTCGTTGATCGTCCCGCTGCTTGATGTGGTTGTAGTCATCGATCGCATCATACAGTTTCTGGAGTAGAGGTCGTGGCAATTGTCGGCTATTCTGAAGGATCAGGTGTAAAAGTGATATTCTTCGAAGAGCGGGACGAAGAGCACACACAATGTCAACTGGGTTCAGTGTGATTGTGTCTTGAAAGTCGACGTTCCTGAAGAAATAAACAGCATTCACCCTGTATGCACCTGCAATGATTCTTCTGACCATGACGTCTTGTCGGTCAAGGGCGTCGCGGGCCGCTGTGGTCTTTCTCATCTCATCCATCGTTGTGTCACGTTTCGACAGCTTCTCCATCTCCTCTTCAAAGAAGATATTTTGTAAGTCATCATACGTGTAGCCACATTCAAGGGTATATATGAGAAGTCTTTTGAGTACCACTGCCCCATAGTATGCATTGACGAATCCCTCTTCTCCGATGTCGTCCTTTTGATTTGGTCGGCCGATCTCTTTGTAGAGCTCTTTCATCTGTTGTGCAGTTGGTTCAATGAGTTCACCATTTTCATCCTCGCCCAGGTAAGGTGTTCTAGAGTCCAGGTCCATCCTGAATTTCTGGTTCTGTTGAAAATGTTTCCATGCCGTCTCGATGTCTCCACAGAAGTTCCGTTGGAATAGTCTGTAGATCCTGACGATGTGTAATCCAATCTGCAACAGGAGGATCTTGATGAGCTCCGGCTGAGCATCTCCAATTGTGCAAGGTTCGATTGGCAGGACCTTTGATCCAAACTCAATCCGTTTCATCCACTTGGGGAACTCAATCACTGCATCACGAGCTTCTCCAGCCTCGTACTCTTCAATGTTGATTTCATCGACCGCTATCTCTTCATCGTCGTTCTCGTCGGTCGGTTTTCCTTCCTGATTGAGAAATTTGTCGACCTCATCTTGTTCTCTGAAGTCTCTCTTCTCATCATTGATGTCGCCCTTCTTCGAGGTTTGATCATCATCTCCTTCTTCTGGTTGAGTTTCTTGTTCTGGACTCTTCATGGTGACGTCATCATCATCTGGCATCGCTTCGTCGTCATCACCATCACCTGTCAAATCGATCTTCACCTCCTCCCATGCTTTCTTGACATGGTCTTTGAGATCTTCTTCTCGATGATGTGATTCGGCGCTTGGTACTGTAGCCACGGTGATCTTGATTCGTTTCCTCCATCCATGACTCACCAAAAATCCTTTGCACATCACACAAATCGATAATGGTGAAGGGGTCTCCATCAGACATGCGGGGCATAGTCGATGGTCCTCCTTGCTGGGATGATGAGTGACTGCCAACAATGATATTGCATCATTCCAATCCGGATGTCCAGGGAACAATCTGTGAGTATGACTGAAGTGACCGGTCCTGATATCGACAAGTTTTCGAAGTTCGTCCAGATCGGGTGATGATTCATCAGGCACAATGTTCCCAATGAGCTTGTCAAATCGTTCAATGGTGGCCACCCTCTTTGCTCCTTGCACAGAAAGGACAAGTTGATCTCTTCCCTTTGTGATCATGAGACGGTAGTAGTCCTTTTCCCTCCAGTCGTAATACCAAACTGCATCGAATGATTCGAATGGAATTGTTTCTTGGACCAAAATGTGTCCGTCTGCTGATAATCTAGGGGAGAA